TATAGAGGCAAAAAAAAAAAATAAGACACATATATCATATCATTCATGAGTGGGGCTCACTGCCACATAAGAGCATCTCTAATGGTAATAGATATTTTACTTATCTAAACATTATTATAAATTATACATTTTATTTTGCCTATCAACTGTTTCATATTTTTACTCCAATCATTCTCTTTATTTTAGTTATTTATCCAAATACTATTAACTTTATAGAATGCCACATTAGTAACAAAAATGGAAGGAAATGATCCTAATGATTAAATATAATTTGCCTAGCCTTTGAAAGCCATGTAACTAGTGAATATGAGTTGAGTTAAAATGCCTAATTATATGCATAGTGCATTGGAGTTGAAAAAAGTGAGTCATACTAGGCATTTTGACTAACAAACATTATATACCTAGTGGGTTGGAGATGCTCAGTAGAGCTCTCATTAGAACTTTACTTTTAGTGCTCTTAAACATTTTCCTTTAGGAAAATGTAGAGACTTGTTTCACATTTGGGTTGTTCGGGACAACTTAAATTGATTATAATTTATTTTAATATGAGAATATATGTTAAACTGTTTAGTGCAGGTTTTATTTAGAATTTATTAGGCAAAAATAGTTTAAATAAGTTTAAAAAAACTGATTATCTAAAAGCTAAGGAAAAGTGTTTTTAACTTTTACTTTCTGATTATAAACTTTCAACTTACAATAAACTGTACTAAATAAGCCCATTTTATCAATCCATGTTTGGTTCATATAATCTAAGCATCTTTCACATAATGCCAATTGATTTTGAATAGGATGGCGCTAAAATTTCAACATAACATCAGAGTTGGATAATAAATCATGTATTCGAAACTCACTACTTGCTTAAAAATTATATAACAAAATTATACCGTTAGTTCCTACACTTTGACTCTTATGTCATTTTGGTTCATGTAATTTCAATTGACTCAATTTGATCCAAAATTTTTGACTTTGTCTCAAATTGGTCAAATTGACTTCAATTGTTACCATTTTTATAGCAAATGCACATATAAGCAGTATGTGTCATATTCTAGAGGCAAAATTATAAACTTAATCAATTCAATGACTTAACCTCAACTAATTCAGCAATAATTTTCTGCCAAAAAACTTAACAATTTTATCAATTGGATAAAATTGATGCAAAATCTATAATTGAGGTTCAAATTTGAGCCAATTGATAGTATAGAGGTCAAAATGACGCAAGCAACCTAATCTAGAGACTACTCATATAATTTGTTCAAAATTATAATATTTGTATGCGTTTGGTATGCTCATCGAGAAAAATTTGACAATATGCAGAAAAGCCTATTAAGAATAAAAATAATAAATTTATCTCACTTTAACAAATTAAATTTTTAAATAAGGTGATGATTAACAATTTTAAGAGTTGTAATACGTTTGCGAGGAGGAATGAAAAATTAAGAGGATGCCAAGGTTGAAGAATGAAAAACTCGAAAGGAAAAGCCTGTAGAGAAAAACTTGGCATACTAATGAGTCCTAATCGACTGAGATGATCAACAGTAAAATACTCTGATACTCAAATTAGTAATCTCTCAATGTAAGTGTGAGTACGAGTGCAAATGGGTGTGTAGACTAAACCAGGTGCATCTTATTCTTGGGTTTTTCCAATCCAAACTTCTTGTATGACCCAACACTTGATTGAACGATTGTCTGAACACCCGATCACACATCTTGCTCAGTCGATATCTTCAATAAAAATTTATAAAAAAATATATGTTAGTAGGTATTTTAATATTATAATGTGTTTTATATTATATTATTTACTTGAGATCCAAGCAACTTGCTCGCCAAATTTCTTTTCTCTCTCTAAGTTTTCTTTTCTTTCCCTCCAAGTTAATCTTCTTCTTGGTGACCAAGTTTTCTCTCCTAAACTTTTCCTCCAAGAATCCTCCAAGCAACTTGCCCACCAAGTTTTCTTTGCCTCCAAGAAACTTGTCCACCGAGTTTTCGTCTCCTATGAATTAACCTAACCTCTTATCTTTGAACATAGAAGAAGTGTTTGTTATTTTATTATGTTTGTATGAGATTATCAAGCAATTAAAAAATGATGTATGTAATGAAACTTTAGGTTTAATTAATTGTATAGTATTGTTGGTGAACTATACGACTTAGTCAGCTATTGTATCCTGTGGGGACAAGTCAATGTTTTTTCTACTGTACCGGTATGAGATTATGCCTAACAGCAGAGAGTTTGAATCTCCTTAAAGAAAGTGAATTTCTCGTGCCTCAACCCTTTTAATAAGTATTATAATTTTTATTTTTTATATTTTTTAATATTTTATTTGTAATTTTTACTAATAGTATATATATAATTTTTTATATTAAATAAATTCAAGATTCAAACACGACCCTTCCCTCCAAAACTACAAACAGTACAATTGTACACAATAAGGGGTTGTTTGGGGTGTCCTAAATAAGTGTACTTTTTGACTTTTTGGACTAAAAAGTTAAGGAAAAAAATATGGTTGTTTGGGATAATTTTTTGACTTTTTATAAAAAAATGTGTATTAAAAAATTGTATAAATTAGTATATAAGGGAAAATTGGAATAAAATAGATTGTACGGTGGGATGAGGTAAGGGACAGCGTGCAGTGTATAGGCTAAGAGATGATTCCCTCCCTTTCGGGCATTGAATGGACGATGCTGCTTGGCCCACCACGGGTCCCGTTTTGCTAATCGGAACCGTTCAATATGTAGAACTCGTCAAGTACTATATGCTTGTAAAAAATCACATTGATCGGATATCGATAGCTATTTGATCGGATTAATTTTTTTTTGCAACCGTTAACTATAACACCATCTATTTTTTTATACAAAATTGATTTGATCATATAGTTAGCGATATAGTACTTGACGAGTTGAACATATTGACGGTTCAGATTATCAAAACGGGACCCATGATGGGTCCCCACGGGCCGAACAACATCGTGTTGTTTGTGCAACTTGCCTGTACAATTTTTTCTAAAAAGTCAGCTCGTGCCTATGGGACGTCAATTTAGTTTGTAATAATTTTGTGTAAAATTAATTTTTTTATATATTTTTTGATAAATAATAATGACTTTTCAATTTCTTTTTAATAATTTTTTGATTTTTTAAATTATTTTAAAGGGTCCAAACCAAGCCTAAAATGCAATGAGCATTATAATAAAAGTCGGTGAGAAAAATGATAGCGGTGGACTTTAGGGCACTTAAGCTACACGCAAAGCATCAAGATTCATTCAATTCAGACCTACCACTAAAATGGGACCCACTTCCTCATTCAAAAGCATTCAGGGGCAGCCCCCTCTCTCTCTCTCTCTCTTTTTTCTTTTTTCTTTTTTTCTTTTTTTCTCTCTCTCACTGAGTGGAGCATGCCCGTCGTCCTTCCTCTTTTTCCTGCATTGATAAGAGGCAAGGCAGGAAAGGCATTGATTGAAGCCAAAAAATTTAGGCTCTTTTTTTGAACGATTTTGGAAATAGTTTTCTGTTCGCACATTCTAACTTCATATTTGTTTATGGTTTTTAAAACATATTTTTACCTCCACGTTTGAAAAATCATGTATCCGGATGTCCCTCGAACGTTCCCCTGCACGTCCAGTCAGTTGATCGGAACAATATTCTTGAATTTTTTTTTTTTTATACTTGTTATTTTTATATGTTAAATAAAAAATATTTTCAATTTTTTTTAATTTTTTATGAGTTTTGAATAGAATTTTGGGTTGTGTTTGGTTATGAGTTGTAAATTTTTGTATAAAAACTATGTCACATCACTTAATTCAAAAAAAAAATTCAAAATTCATTCAGCCTCCGTTTGGGAAGTGGGTTGGCTTTTTGGCTTTTTGGCTATTAAAAAGACTATCTCAAATTAAACTTTTTAATCCCGAGTTAAAATAGTTAAAGAATCAAAAAAATTAAAAAGACAACTCACATCCCAAACCAATCTAAAGAAACTTAAATGGATAACCAAGAATTAAGGTCTTGTTTGTCATAACTTAAAAAAATTAAAAAGTCATAATCTTATTTAAGTCATATCACTTGTCTATCACATCAGTTCAAATTCAATCCATACCAACCTATATTTCATAAAAAATTAAAAAAATATGTTTATTTATATCATTCTAAATCACCCCTAAATATATTATCATCATCATCACCGCCACCTCCTTTTATTCATTTTGTGTGTGCAAATGCAATATTATCGTTTTAGTAATGAGTGAATCAATTACAACTTACAAGCACTGAAAAGGTTTCACAACTACCGAGCAAACCCCACATATTTACACCAACTATGTAATTACCATCTTCAGCTTCATTTTGACAATTCTTTTGTTTTTTTTAATGAGTTCATCTACCTCATATTAATAATACTAGAATGATTATGTTTTCTTCTCATGTTTCGTTTTGTTAAAAGAATTTGACAAAGAATATGACTGTTTGTTGCCTCCACTGTTCGGTTCAAGCGGTGGAATTTTTATTTATCGTCTTTTAGTCAGTATATTTGCTGCTATATTTATTAATATTTAGTATTGAAACTGTAATAAAATAATTATTTCATTAAAATATTTATTTTTTAATTTTTCTGTCTAGAATTATTTTAGTAAATCAAACATTATCTAAATGACTTACAACTCCATTTCCTCATGCATTCATAACCACGACCAAAGGAGCTATATATTTCCAGCACATTTACGAGATAATTATTCAAAAACAAAATATATAATATTATATATGTAGTGCTCCAAACTAATAGCTTGATAAAAAGATTAACTAATAAAATATGTTGACTCACTTTTATTAGGTAGTTAAAATACAAAAAACGCTCACTTAGTATGTATTAGAATTTTTCATTAGCTGATACATAGACAATGTGATATAATATTCCAAGAGTACCTAATAATTTCCCATTTAGATGACCCCAATTTCCCTTTGCTTACCACAAAATTCATGCAACTAATGAAAACATCAGACCTTCCCTATACCGTATCTTTTTTTGATGAAAACCTCAATAGATAAAACCCTCAATTTACTGAAAACCCACAAAATTGGTTTTCTAGAATTTGACAAAATCCATCAAAAACTCAAAAGAATATACACAAAGTACAAACAACAATAGCAAAGTTCTTCCAAAATGCACAATTCTTATGGTAGCAACAATCCTCATTTGGACCATATATGTTCTCTCTCCGCATCACAGTACTACATGCCAACAAGACCAATTTTGGCAACAACCCGGGATTACATCTAGTCAATGAGCCGGTTAATAAACATATGGTAATATCCTCCATGGAACGAGTTTGCAGTACTCTGCCCACACTTCTCTATACTTCTCTGCGCACCGAGCTTCATCTCTTCTCTCTCTCCATATTAGCAGAATAAGAAGATAAACTGGATAGAAGTACGGAACTGGGGAACTGCAAACATGAATGACTTCTCATTGACATTTTTTGATTTTTGCTATATTGAATTATATAACCACCAAAAATAAAGTATGATTGAGAACTTTACCTTATCCCACAGGGTAAACTGAAGGAAGAAGCCACCAGTAAATCGCCAAGGTAATTACAGTGCCTTGCAATTCCCCTACAGAGAGAGAAGGGTTGAATGAGATGACCCGTCTTGAACATTGAAGATAGGTACAAAATTGATGTACTTTGCAAGCCATGATTCATTGATCATGGAATGTTGATACCGTCAAAAGTAAAACATTCAATCCACTGAAGGCAACATTCACTTGGACCAAACCACATACCATGATGCCGCTGCCTTTCCAGGAACAGTTAGTTGCAAATGAAATAAAAAATAAAAAAAATAAAAAATTATAAATAAGCTACACAGCTAAAATTTTCATCTGTAGTAAAAATTTTCATCTGTAGTAAATTTGACAAGCCACTACAACAGGCTACATTCCACAGAATAGAACTACAGACTGCTCCCCAAAGTATATTTTGTCGTAACTGCAAATTGTCGCTTACAAAGGTTTAGATTGTAGTTCACAATTTAGTGTCACACCTATTAGTTCCTTCTTTGGTCATCACAGAATTCCAGACTTTGGAATTCTAAACCTTTATATGGCCTGTTTGCCTACTACAGCTTCTAAATATCGGTGGAAGTACTACTTTTTTGAGTGACGATCAGAGTTGATTCAACGTTACACCTATTAGTTCACATTATTTCAAACTCCAAATTTTGTTGAGGCCTAAAGAAACTACCTCTTCTGTTTATGCACTTCAACAGACAATAGGAATTGAGCCCCAGAATCCCTCATTCTGACACAAGGTTGAGGCACTTAAAGTTACCACCTTAGTGTTGCTTTGGCCAAATAACAATCAATAGGAAATCATAATTGCATCACTGTCATGAAAAGAGTCTTCGGTTTATTCATTTAGTTTCATTTCTTTCATTTTTTTCCAACAAAAAAAAAATTAATTAGAAGAATATGATCAGACGGAAACCTTACCAATAACCAGAAGCCAGCAACTTTCCCCCTATAACTTTTGGAGGCCTACCCCATATTGGCGCTTTAGGGTTCTTTTTGAATACATGCTTCTGCTTGTTAGCACCTCTAAAAACCCGATACCTTCCCAGTACCAACAAATAAATAAAATGCCATTTTAGGTCATGAATGAGAAAGGAAGAAGAGAAGATAAAGAAAATTAGAAAAGGAAAACCTAACAAATAAAGTTATCCAAATTGCAAAGAGAAAAAGAAAAAGAACTTAATCAGAATCATCTTGAGTATGCTGAAAGACATTTACCCAGTCAGAAAAACAATGCCATTTGCAATAACAGCAGCTGTTGTTAGCTCCACCTTGTTACTCAAAAGCCACCAACCCTACAATAAAGAAAGAGGCAACCAGTCATCCAAGAGTTTTACAAGGAAAAATATTTTGCTCACAATGTGACTTTGATGGTAACATCTTCAGGGTACAACAACAGAAACATGGAAATCGTAGGAACAAATTACAAAGCACTTTGTCGTCATTATTCAGATGCATCAAAGTTAATTCACCATCTGGAACTCTTATCTCTAAAGGGATGAATCAATAGTTTGTTTAGATTAAATTAATTGGAATGTAGATACTGATAACAAGTCCACGGTTGGTTTTTTTTTACTCAGTAGAAGATAATTAAAGAGTAACATATCCATAATACTGTGAAGATTATGTATTTTATAGTATTTTATATTAGTCATTTAGGGTAGTTTCGTCGATTAGATTATTAGGGTTTATTTCATTTAGGTTATATATATTTGAAATCAGAGATTCATTTGAAATACACAAAATATATGTTCTTTGTTATCAAGATATCAAAGCAGGTTCTAAGTCAAACCTCTAGAAGCCCCTGAGTCAACTCCTTCCCTGTGGTTGTCTGGTTCGACTGAAGGCTTCTAGCGACCAACAGTTCTCTCGCGACTGCCTCTACCTGGCCTTGTCTCACGATTGCCTCAACTGTTCTTCTTCATGATTGTCATTCGTGGTTCTCTCGTCAATTTCGGCTCCAAGTCTTCGATGTCATTCGTGGTTCTCTCGTCAATTGCGACTGCCTGACTTTGCTTTGATCTCTCTCTGGTCGTTCATGGTTCTCTAGTTGCTGGGATTGGTACTCTCTTCTCTCTGTCTGGTACTATTCTCTTTTATTTGAACTGGGTTGTTTGGTTATAGCAATTTGGCTGATGATAAATTGCAAGCTATCACCACTAAGTTGGATGGTACAAATTATTCTTATTGGTCTCATGTAATGAAAAAATTTATCACGGGTAAAGGCATGTGTAACTATGTTATTGGTGTGACTACTCGACCTATGGAATCTAAAGAAACTGAGGCTGATGTTGCTAAATGGGATAAGGAAAATGCACAAATTCTTACTTGGTTTCATAATTCAGTTCAAACCACCATTGGTATGAAGTTCTCCAAGTATTCTACTTCTAAACAAGTTTAGGACTATTTGAAAACTATGTACCTTGAGTCTAACTTTGTAAAACAGTATGAACTTGAGATGTCTATTCGCAGTGCTAATCAGAAAGATAAGTCCATTTAGGAATTTTACAATGAGATGACTTCTTATTGGGATCAGCTTGCTCTAATGGAACCATCAGATTTGCAATTACTTGGCAGTTATACCAAGTATCAGGAGAAGCAACGTCTTGTTTAGTTTTTTATGGCCCTTCGTGATCAATTTGAGCCATTTCGGGGCCCTATTCTTCATCGGTTCCCCTTACCTTCTATCAATGGTGCTGTTCGTGAGCTTATTGCGGAAGAAACTCAGTTCAAGGTGGCTCATGGTGCTCCTCATTCCCAGTTAATTTTTGCCACTCCTCCGCTCTTGCCAACCCCACCATCTCCTTTATTTCAAGTTACTGGTAAGCCTAAGCCTCGGGTTTCTATGGATGAGTGCTGCTACTGTCATCAGAAAGGCCATTGGAAACATGCTTGTCCTAAGCAGGTGCAGCCCAAGGGCCGTTCATTTGGTTCACCATCCTCTAAGTCGACATCTTCGGGATCTCGCTCATCTGCCGCCTTTTCTACACCAATTTCTGAGAATGGTCCATTTTTCAATATGCAGTCTATGTTTCAACTCTTTCGTCCCAGGCTTCCGCTATGACTACCACTCAGTTAGGTTTGTCTGGTTCATCCTCTTCAGATAATATCCACACTTCGTGAATTTTTTATTCTGGTTGTTCACATCATATGACCTCTGTTACATCTCTCCTTAGTAATTGTCTCCCCTCCTTCTCCTATCAGTATTGCTACCGCTAATGGTTCCTCTATGCATGTATCCTCTATTGGTTCTATTTCCTCTTCCCATTTGTCTCTTTCTCCTGTATTTTATGTACCTCACCTCTTACTCAGTCTTATTTCTATTAGTCAATTATCTCTGATTCTGGTTTTGATGTTGTTTTCTCTTCCTCTCATTGTGTTGTGCAAGATCGGGTCTCCAAGAGGCAGATTGGGATCGGGCGTGGAGTTAAAAAACTATATATCTTGGACAGCGTACATGTTCCTTTAGATGTGTCTTCTACTGCATTATCTTCTTTTTGTTTAAACAATAAGTCTTCTTTATTTTATATTTGGCATTCTAGGTTAGGTCATTTGTCGAGTGATCGTTTGAGGATGTTGATTCAGTCTTGACATTTAGGCAATTTTTCCATTGCTGATATTTCAGAGTGTCGTGGTTGTAAACTAGCTAAAATGTTTGCTCTTCCTTTTAATAAAAGTAATTCTATTTCATCTTCTCCTTTTCAATTGGTTCATACTGATGTTTGGGGTCCTTCCCTTATAATTACCAAGGGAGGTTTGCGATATTATGTGCCTTTTGTGGATGATTACAGTCGGTTTACATGAGTTTATTTGATGACACGAAAATCTAATTTTCACAAAATATATTCCAATTTTCACTCCATGATTTGCACTTAGTTTTCCACCACTATTAAAGTTCTCCGTTCTGATTTGCAGGGTGAGTATTATTTGTCTAAGTTTTGGGAGTTGTTTAGCTACTTGTGGTACTATTCATCAGTCTTCTTATTCAGACACTCCTGTCCAAAATGGTCAAGTTGAGCACAAACATCACCATCTCCTTGATACAGCTCGTTCTTTGCTGCTCTCATCCTTTGTCCCTTCTGTCTTTTGGGGAGAAGCTGTGCTCACTGCTGCATATCTTCTCAATCGGATGCCCACTCCTTCTCTCCGGCTCATCTCTGTATAAGCGTCTTCTTGGTGTTACTCACAATTATTCTCTTCTTCGTGTTTTCGGTTCTACATGCTTTGTGGTCATTCCTAAACAGGACCGCTCTAAACTTAATTCTCGTTGTGTCCTATGTGTCTTTTTAGGGTATAGCATTAATCAGAAATGTTATCAGTGCTATGATCCTGCCACCAAAAAGCTTTATGTGTCTAGGCATGTCACTTTTTTGGAAAAACTACCCTACTACACTATACCTTCCACCCCTGTCCCTATTACCGAGGATGAATTGGTTCACGTTGACTCTTTTCCTTTTGATGTTTCTCCTGATGAGTTTGTTTCTAATCTTGAGATCTCTGCCTTGCCTCTTCCTAGTACATCTAATATCTCGCCAGCTACTCCCTCTCCAGCTCCCGCTTCTCCTACTCCTCTTCTTGTTTATCAGCGCTGCAAAGCACTTCCGAGCTCGACTGTCTCTAGCTCTACTGTCCCTCTAGTTGTTTCTTTGGATCCCGCTCCTCCTGCATATCGCTTTCCAACGCGTGGCCGTCATCCTTCGAACTGGAATGGTTTTGGTAATACATGTTTTTCCCTTTCCTATCAGTCTTTTCTTTCTTGTCTTCATACTTATTTTGAGCCTAGGTTCTACAAGGAAGCTTGTCATGATCCCAATTGGATTGCTGCCATGAATGACGAGTTAATTACTTTGGCTAACACTCTGACTTAGGATTTGTTTCCATTGCCTGCTGACAAGAATGTTGTAGGCTATAAATGGGTCTATAAGGTCAAAACCCTTTCTGATGGTTCTTTGGAACGACACAAGGCTTGTTTGGTTGCCCAGGGCTTTTCTCAAGAGTATGGGATTGATTACGATGAGACTTTTGCCCCTGTTGCCAAGATGACTACTGTTCGCATTCTTATCTCTGTTGCTGCTGCCCATCACTAGCCTTTGTTTCAACTCGATGTCAAGAATGCTTTTCTGAATGGGCATCTTGCTGAAGAAGTGCACCGGGTCTCTCTCACCCTCCTGGTATGGTTTGTCGTCTTCGCCGTGCTCTCTATAGTCTCAAGCAGTCTCCTCGTGCATATGAGCGATTTCACTCTGTTGCACTTCAACTTGGTTTTTGCCATAGTCATCATGATTGTGCTCTATTTGTTCGGCGCACTTCTGTTAGCCTTGTTCTTCTTCTCTTATATGTGAATGATATGATCATTACTGGCTCTGATTGTAGTACTATTGAAGAGGTTAAGCATTAGTTGTTTCAGGAGTTCGAGATGAAGGATTTGGGATTTCTTCGGTATTTTCTTGGTATTGAGGTTGCTACTTCTCCTACTAGGTATCTTCTCTCTCAGACTAAACATGCCCGTGATATTCTTTCTCATGCGAAACTCACTGATGACAAAATTGTAGACACTCTTGAGTTGCATGCTAAGCTTTCTGCTTCTGATGGCGTTCCTCTTGAGAATCCCACTTTGTATCGTAAGTTGGTTGGGTGCCTTGTTTATCTCACTGTTACTTGTCAGGATATCTCCTATGCTGTGCACATTCTCAATCAGTTTGTTTCTGCTCCTCGTTTCACACACTGGGCTACCTTACTCTGTACTCTGCGCTACCTTCGGGGCACTTTGTTGCAATGCCTATTGTTATCTGCCTCTTCGGACTTGACTCTTCGTGGCGGGTGACATCTCTGATCGCAAATCCACTTCTGATCTTTGTGTTTTCCTCGGCGATTCTATCATATCTTGGAAGAGTAAGAAACAGTCTGTTGTTGCTCGTTCCACCGCTGAGGCTAAGTATCGTGCCATAGCTTATGCTACTTCCGAGATCGTTTGGCTTCGCTGGCTTCTCTCTAATATGGGTGTCTCTCTTTCTGATCCAACTCCGTTGTATTGTGATACTCAGAGTGCTTTTTAGATTGCCCATAATTCAATCTTCCATGAACGGACCAAGCATGTTGAGATCAATTGTCACTTTGTTCGACAGCATCTTCAGGCTGGCACTATTACTCTCTCTTTTGTTTCGTCCTCTCTTCAGTTAGCCCATTGTTTTACGAAGACTCACACTGTTGCTCGTTTTCGTTTTTTTCTTGGCAAACTTTCAATACTTTCTGCGCTCGCATCCTCAGTTTGAAAGGGGGGGGTTTTGGAGATTATGTATTTTATTGTATTTTATATTAGTCATTTAGGATAGTTTCGTCTATTAGATTATTAGGGTTTATTTCATTTAGGTTATATATATTTATACTCAGAGATTCATTCGAAATACACAATATATATATTCTTTGTTATCAAATACAACTCGCTATTCTCTGAAATCTATAAAATTTAACTTCTCACTTTTCTTCAGAGACTATAGAAAATATGAAGTTTACTAAAGTGGCTAAATAGCATTCAAGCATAAATATGCCATCTTGTGATCCAGATTACATGTTTCATTTGCTACCATATACACATTTTTTGTTATCCAAGGAGGATTAAATCAGTTCTTGCAGAAAACTGATTGCAATTGTTGGAATGGAAGTCAAACAGGTTGTCTGTTTTGAAGAATTTCTTACAATCACGAGCATAACTGGGTATAAGTATACAGATCCAGGTATGCATCTTTTTAATTTTCTTGCCAATAAACAAAAATAGTTTCTTCTAGTAATTTGATCTAACAAGTGACAGGTAACTAACTACCTGAATACTAAAGGTGAAGGGAATCCAAACTAGATCTCCAAACACAAGCATGAAGCCCAACTTTTCTGCAATTATATCCCAACTGCAAATGATAGTCACATAAAAAAAGGTCAGATTCGAAAATAAAATCGTCTTGGAATTATAAAGTTGAAATCTTTCAGATAAGAAAAAGTAAATAGAAGTGAGAGTGAAGGAAACACAATGATAGGATGCACAATGTAACATGATTTATTAACTGTACTATCAGAAATGAACAGGATACAGACATGTGAAGTGCCAATGATTCTCAACATTAAGGTATAAATCTCATGTAGTGGACTACAATTGGGCATAGAGGTCTGCATGGTTCACATCAGTTCAGTGCAGGTTAGAGCCAGACCCATAATTGAACCAACTTTTGTCGGTTCTCAATTTGTGGACCCAAAGCTGACGAGGTGATGACTAAAATGTAGAACCAAACCAATCCAACCAAAGAAAATTCAGGTTGGCGATGCAAGTCTAACTGTGTTGTATAAATTTTGATTTATTCATTAAAAAAATTTACTATTACTATAGAGCAAAATGAAAAAGACCTATTATAAACAACGATTATTGGCAAGAGTGTCTATATAAGGGAAAATGCTTCAATAAATACCTCCCTTTTGTGTGTATACCATATGCACCTACTTTGAGACATAACCAAAACCACTTTAAGTCAAACAAAACCACTTTGACTTGTAGCCAAAAACAACTTTGGGTCGTAACGAAGGCTAGGCCCACTTTAATTTGACCATAAGCAAACTTCATTTTAACCACTTGAAGTCATAACCAACACACCGCTTTGGGGCATAACCAGAGGATATGGTTCACAACTTTTTAAGGGGTGTGTGCCAAAAATTGGCCCTACATAAGACAGAGTCACAAGTTCATAACCAATAGCAGTGATACATACTGATTTACAAATTGAAATTTTTTTAATACATATAGGGGTCAATTCTCAAGTTGGTTTAGGTTACCCAAGAACCAAACCGATTTGGTTGGTTCTTGGAAATTTGGACCCAGAACCAAACTGAAGCTTTGCTAGAACCCGGCCAACCCAACTCATCAAGATTAGGTTGGTTCAGTTCAAGGATTATTCAATAAGAATGAAGAGTACTATAACACAAAGAAAAGTAAACAAAAATACATCTCCAGGAAGAAATTGGCAGGTTAGCATGGTAGAATATCAAATATATTCTCAACAGAGAATGATGCAATTGCACTTTGTTGAGTTTGAGTTGGGTGTTCTTCAGAGAAACTGATAACGCACTTACGTGGAGGTCATGTACTCTTCATAAAAGAAGTAGTCCAGGATGTATAACTGAAACACGATTAAACCAAAATGAAATAAATAAATAAGTAATCAAAGAAAAATCAACAATCACCTACAAAACTAGTTTTGAAACATGAAAAGTATAAATCACCAAATTACCACACAGAATAGCTGGTAAAGAATCATTGATTGGCTCAAGTTGGCATCTTGAACACTTTTTGCCAAAATGGAGAGGTTGATAAGTAGCCATCCCATCATCCCAGCTCTAACAAAGAAAAATCTACAGAAGAGAATTCCATCATTTTAAGAGGTAACGCATTCACCATAAAATGCAACTGGATTATGTTTTCATATTCAATTAAGCCAAAGTCAAAATGTTTTGTCATATGTAGACATGGAAGAGTCAGGAAATACTTTTTAAGATGTTTCAAGAAAAGGAGCACAAATTAATTTATGATTTAATCAGGTTCATGGAAATTGTGATTGTATACATGGAAGGAAAAACAAACAGGAATTAAAATAAGTTCACTGCTGAAAGGATTGTGGAGCAAGGCTCAGGCTTTCGGCGGGAAGTTATTTTGGTCGGATTCGAGGTGAGTTGGGTTATCACCATACTGTGATTGGCCTCGAGTACCGTACAAACCCAATCCTTCTTAGGTCGTTTGGATGGCAAGTGTCGGAGTATGGCTATCTGGGTTCGTGACAAGGAGGCTGGTGGGCAGTCGTTTCAGATTGTGGTCACCATTGTAGGTCATCGGCATCAGGTTGTTACCCCCGTCTCAGAGTTTAGGGATGGCTGGGAGAGTGTGGCGTTGGTTATGGAGGGCTTTGCCAGAGGTGAAAGCTGGGTTGCGAAGGCTCGCGCTAGGATGACGGTATCAGTGGTGAAGAGAACGGCTCTAGAAAGTCTGGTTGACATGGACAAACCAGTTCAGGCGGTGGTTGAAGAGGGGTGGTTTGATACACTGAATCGGGCATTGGTGGGCTTCGTGCGTATTAGTGGGGGATAAGGGTGTAGGGTTTTCTGTGATGACAGAGTGGGCTGGTCGGTGGTGGGGCGCGTCACGCAAGGTGGAGCTCCAGCCAATAGGGAAACAAGACTTTCTCTTTGTGTTCCCCTCCCGTCGGGGATGCTGAAAATGTGTTGCGACGCCAGTGGGTTGACGACGGGCGCGACCTTCGTCTGCGATGGTGGTCACCGACAGTTTTGTGTGACAAGGGCAACCCAACGCTGTCGGAGGCGACTATGCGGGTGCGGGTGTTGGGCCTACCCATTCATCTCTGAGGAATGGCCACGTATAGGGCCATCGGTGACCGTTGTGGTGGTTTTGTGCAGATTGAAGAGCTTTCGGCGGATCTCGGAGTGGTCCGATTGCAAGTCTGGCGTCATGGCATCATTTCGACTAAGATCTCGCTACGTTGAGAGGATTGGCAGTATATGATCCCTCTGTGGCCGGAAGTTTGTCCTATGGTTGCCTCGGTCTCGCCGGCGGGGGTAGATCATGAGGGGTTTTGGCTAGGGAAGGAAAATCGACAGCGACGGCGTGATGATAGGCAGAATTTTGGGAATGGAGGATATGGTGGGTCTGTTCGCAAATTTGGAGGAGAGGATGTAGGGTTTCGGTATCAGGGCAGGTTGAAGCATCCTAGGCAAAGGGATTGGGCTGTGGAGCAGTCACATTTGGGGCCAAATAAAGGTGGGTAGATCGCAGTAGGTAGGGATGGCAACTTGAACCCAACCCGATGGGGACCCAACCCCCTGACCCCGAATTGAGCGGTTATTCCCTGAAAAATACCCTGGACTGGCGGGGGATGGTATTAAAAAATGAATCCTCGATGAAATTCGAGCCGGGGACAGGGACACATGTTCCAACCCTAGACCCGGCCCGACCTCGACCTCGACCTCGACCTCGACCTCGACCCCGACCCCCGCCCTGTTGTAAAATTACTATTATGCCCCAGTTTATATATGTGTGTGTAGGGTTTGGTTGACACACTCACTCACACACCGCTCTCTCTCTCACTGCCGCTGTTTAGTTTAGGGTTTCGCCTCCGAAGTAGTCCAGGATGTATAACTGACATGTTATTAATACTTGTTTATGAATATCATATTTTAGGTTTATTTATGTTCCATGTCCACACGCAAAAGAAGTTCTTTGTGATACTTTGCTTGAATGTCTCTCACACGACGGCTACTGCTCCCTCACCGCCGATCCTCCCTCACCGCCGATTTTTAAAGGTTTATCTCTCTCTCTCTCTAGGGATTTCTACCTCTGTTTTTTTTTTCTCTAAATTTATTTATTTTAAATATATATATATGATCTGTTATTGATCTGTTTTCGACAATCTGTTATATACATATATATAACAATGATCTGTTATTTATTTTAAATATATATATAATCTGTTTTCGACCTCTTTCATTGATATGTATGATCAGTTTTTTTAATTATTGATCTGTTTATTTTAAATATATATGTCATTGATGATATATATCTAGTTATTTATTTTATATATCTGTTTTTTTTTTTAATTATGATCTGAGGCTGAATATGATAGTTTGAGGGGGTAATTTGACACAAAATTTAAGAATTTTAAGTTTAAAACAACAAAATTTAACAAACCATGAGAATTTGAAATTCTAACTTTCTAGATTTCCATAATTTTCATGTTTTGTGGAAAATAAAGCAACTTAAATTAAAGTAACAGTAATCATGACAAAATCAAAAACTCATCTTAAAAAAAAAAACAGAGAAAGAAAACAAAAAACAGAAACTTATTTATTTATTTTTTTTTTTTTTTTTATTGAGTAACAATTACTTCTATAGTCTCCTTAGTTGTTTTTATTTTTCTATCTGTAGTTCTAGGTGAATGAACATTGATGATTCCATTAGCTTAATTATTAATTGTTTCTTTGATATTTTCAAATGTTTAGTTAATTTGTTTCTCAGTTTCAAGTTCAGAAAATTTAACTGCTTTGGTAGTAATGTGGTGGTCAGAGAGATTAAAAAACGAGTTATATATTCTTCTTTTGAAGGTAACACTCTACATCTTATGATTTTAATTTTTTTGTTTGTGTATTTTTCTTAAAAAAATAATTTGTTTTATTTTTTTCATGCAATCACTAGTGGGATCTAAATGTTTATGATATGATTTCACTAGCTTGACGACTGAATATTTGTCATATTTATTGGCTAAAGGGTGAAACTTTTTGTTGGATTTTGGGTGATGGTTTGACAAAGTTTAAGTTTTGCCATTTTGTTTGGATTATATACTGATTTTGGCATATGGCATATTTAGAATTCCTGCATGGTGGCTAAATTTAGTATTGGTTAATGATTTGTTGTTTAAGGACCAATTTTATGTTGCCTCTTTTAACATTAATTCAATCCATATTATTTTTATAAAAGTAAAAAATGTCAGATGTTAACTCTGAAGTACCAGTTAACTCTCAAGTACTATTTGAAAGCGAGGTGTCACAACAATCATCGCCAGCTACCAACTCACCTACGAACTCACCATCTCCCCTCTCTAATCAAAATGTTATTGATTTAGAAGAAGAGTCTAATACTTGTGAAGGAACTAAAAGAAAACCTAGTGTTGTGTGGGAACACTTTAAGAAACCACAAGTAAATGAGGTGTGAAAGGCAATATGTAATTATTGTAATAAGCATCTTGAAAGTGATTCAAAAAATGGAATTAGGCATTTGCATGATCACTATAAGAGTTGTACTAGGAAAAAAGTGATGAACATTAGGCAAAAAGTTTTAACTAACAGCTTTAATAGAGAGAGTCCAAAAATGAATTCTTATATTTTTTATCAAAATTTTGCTAGGAAAAAGTTGTCACATGCCATAATATTGCATGAATATCCCCTCTATCGTAGATCGTGTTGGTTTTAAACGATAATTAGCAGCACTGCAACCATTGTTTAAAGTACCTTCTCGAAATACGATAAAGAGTGATATTTTAAAATTTTATGATTATAAGAGGGTGAAAACATTGAGTTTGCTGGAGCATAATAAAAGTAGGGTGGCAATCACAACTGATATGTGGACTGCTAGCAATCAAAAGAAAAGATTCATGGCTGCCACCGCACATTTTATTGATGATTCATGGACATTGCAAAGTTGCATTTTGAGATATATATATATTACTAAATTTGCAAATCATTTAAAAGATCTATCTTATTCAGTTCAATTTACATGTTATTAATACTGTTCATGAATATTACATTTTAGGTTTACTTATGTTCTATCGTCCACACACAAAAGAAGTTCTTTGTGATACTTTGCTTGAATGTATGATGGACTGGAATATTAATAGAAAAATCTCTACCATTACTGTTGATAATTGCTCCACAAATGATGTCATGATTACCATATTGATGGATAAGTTGAGTAATACATCACTTTTGTTGGGTGATACTTTGTTTCATATGCGTTGTTGTGCGTATATTTTGAATTTGATTGTGAAAGATAGATTGGATGTCATACAAGTGGGTGTGGAGAAAATTCGAGAGAGTATAGCTTATTGGACAGCAACATCAAAAGACAAGAAAAATTTGAAGAAATAGTCAATCAATTGCGTAATCCACATACTAAGAAATTAGGACTTGATTGTGCAACTAGGTGGAATTCAACCTACTTGATGCTTCAGATTGCCTTATTGTATAAGCATGTCTTCTCTCGATTGAAAAATAGAGAGCCCCAATATAAGATTGTGCCAAGTGAGGAAGAATGGGAGTTTGCTAGAGAGATTAGTGAGAGGTTTAAGATATTCTTTTCTATCACAGAGTTATTTTCTGGTACTAAGTATCCCACAGCCAATGTTTGTTTCCCAGCTTTATGTGAGATTAGGATGACATTATCTCAATGGCTCTCTTGTAAAATTAAACTGATTAGAACAATGGCATCAAAAATGGTGGAAAAATTTTATATTAGTGATACATGGTGTTATTAAAGTTATTGTTGTACTTGATCCTAGGTATAAAATGAGTTTATTGGAGTTTTATTTTGAAAACTTTATGAAGACAAAACTAAAGATGAAGTTGATAAGGTTCGTCAGCTTTGTTATGATTTGTTGCAAGAGTATCAGCACCGAGGTGGTATGGAAACCGACGTTGTTGGTGACTCTTCTATTCATCCAGATATAGTTACAGAGACCCTTTCAGAGTATGATTTGTTTATTAGTAGAAAGAGAAGTAAAAAAATGAAGAATGTAATATTTGAGTTGGACCATTATCTAGAAGATGATGTTTTGCCAAGAACTTCAAGTTTT